AATATTGATTTCTAGTTGAACTGTTTCAATTTTCAACTTATTGACTCTATTACAAATGTAGAACAATTTTATGCACTCAAAACATGTTCCCCTAAAATCAAAATTAAAAACGGACAAAAGGATGATAGTCCCAGCTGCAGAAAAAAGCATCGAAGCTCGATTCGACTCGAAGCCGCACCAACCACAGATCAAAAAAAGAAACAAAATTGATATTTGTAAATAAACAAAATACCCACATCATCATCGGAGGCAAACAGCACGATAATTTTCCTCAATCAGTCTAAAATTCAAGAATCCCACAAATATAGTATCGATCGACATTAGCCAAAAAAAGGAAAAAATCTACACACACTTAACTAACCGAGAAAAGAATATGGGATTGTTGCAACAAGGGCAGGCGCAGGTTAGAGCTATCGTGCTTGTTGAAGATGACCAGAAAAATAGTGGAGATAAATAGAAAAAGAAAAGAAAAATGAGAAAGAGCGAAGACAAAGGATAATGGAGAAAAGGTGTGACCGTGTGTGTGTCGACATGTATGTACTTGCTTTTGGCTTCAAGGCCACGTGGTCGGTAAATTTTACCATAGGAACACAACACGATGTAAAAAGTGGTAAATATTATTTGTTTTTTTTTTAACGGCGGTAAAAAGGGAGGATTTCATCCTACGTGGGGCCGTCATTTTGCGCGCCATTGGAATTGGATTATACAATCACATACATCCATGTGAATTCGATGGCTAAGATCTCCGTGGGCACTACCATAGAGGTAGATCGAACTTATTGGTAAAATGTTGTTAGTTAGGGAACATTTCATCAATCGATAGTAATAATGTAATTATTGAATATTTTATCGTTAAAATAATATTCACTAGTTGAATCACCAAAAGGATAAACTTATCGTGGTAAAATGTTGATGGTCGAGGAAGATTTCACCAATCGATAGTGACAGTGTAGTTATCGGATATTTTGCCTTGAATCTATACATACTCTTACAGTCACCAGAAGTGTCGAACTTATTGGTGAAATATTGGTGGTCATGGAAGGTTTCAACAATCGGTAATAACAATGTAATTATCGGGTATCCGCCAGTTCAAACTAAGTTTTCAAAATTTTTATCTTTTATTGTTATATAAATACACATTCGTACAATCGCCAAAAGTGTCAAACTTATCTCTAAACAACAAAGTAATTATTGAGAATTTTTTTCGTTAAATCAATACATACTCGTGCAGTCATCAAATGTTTAAACTTATCGGCGAAATTTTGATGGCTAAGGAAGATTTCACCAGTCGATAGAGACAATGTAGTTATCGGATATTTTGCCGTTAAATTGATGCACACTCTTACAGTCATCAAAAGTGTCGAACTTATCGGTAAAATGTTGGTGGTCGGGTAAGATTTCACCAATAGATAGTGACATTGTAATTAACATATATTTATTGTTAAATCAACATACATGCAGTCATCAAAAACGATGAATTTTTCGTCGTTAGATATATGCCTTCCCACACAGTTTATACCGAAAGTAATAAATAAGAATCCTATTTTTTCCACTCAAGTAAAACACAAATTTTTATATGAAGCGACCTAAAAATTGGATAAGCCCGCTCATTATAATTACTTAACAAAAATGTATATTTTAAGTTGTGGAATGTCATCTTATTTTTATGTTACGTTTTAAGAGTATTGATAAAGTATTTGTCTAAATCGAATTAATAATGTCAAGTGCGGGCCCACGAGCCCGAATAAACTTATTGGAAATTTTCAATTTAGTTGACCTTGAACTAATTAATTTTTTATTTTGCTATTTCTTATTAAAGTAAAATTGTGTTTGTTTGGATTCAAAATTATGCAAGTTTTTATAGCGATTCACGAGGCCCGATTTGTTTTTGTATGCCCATAAATTCAAGTTTGTAAATAGTGACAGACTGACAGCTAGCTTTCGGAGTAGATTTTTGCGTGGACCTATTTTGGGACAGCCGGAATAGGCCCAAGAACTTTATCGGAAGAAGGCAGTTTGAAGCCATTTGGAGGCCCATTTTTAGCCCAATTAAAACCGACCGGCATTATAGGAGTATGCTCCTTCAATTTCAATATAAAATGTTTCACATCATTTCTTGTTTTATTCATTTGAATGAATGATATATGCATTATCATATTAATAGTCGAAACTTAAATTTGGGTTGAACAGGTTATTGCAAACTTTCGATCATCTGAAAACAACTAATGACCTACAAAATAAAGATCATGAAAAGCTCGCGATGTCGAAACTTAGATTTGGGTTGAACAGGTTATTGCAAACTTCCGATCATCTGAAAACAACTATTACCTACAAAATAAGGATCATGAAAAGCTCGCGGCGTGAGTAATTCGACACTCAAGTCAGGATTTGAAATGAGGCATACCTAGATCTTTTTCCCTAAGTTGTCCTACTTGATGTTAGTAGGTCCCAGGTATTTAGGTCGAGCATTCTCTCATCTATCTTGCCATAGTCCGAGTCCTATAGGTCGTTCGACCTAATGCCGAGGACTATGACATGTTTAGCTTAGTTGAAGGTCACTTGGTCCTCTTTATTGATTAGCTCGTTAGCTCGATCCGAACAACTCCTAGGTAACTCGTTCAACTCAACTCGAGCTATTTGAAGTTGTGTTTTAGTTAAGCCTGACGAGTTATGAAATTCGTTAATCACTGAAATCGCAGCTCCGGATCAACCGAGCTATGACTATATCACATATAAACAAAAGTATCATTCATCCAAAAAAATAGATACACCAAATGGAACTCTAAAATAGTAAAATGAGATAGGAAATCTCATTCCGTGGATTCCCTCTCAGAGAAAAGGAATCAACACATGAGAGCCTTTTGATGGGTGCCCAAGGCCTTGATTTGGAACCACCCACATATGAGTCTCCGTCGAGCCCTTTGCCGAAAATATAGTTTTAGAGCGAAAAAGTCTTATGCAGATGATCATTTGGATTTAGTTTTGTTTATATGAAAATGTATTTATATTTAGCCTTCGATTCCACCGGAGAAAGTAAAACTAATGGGAGAAAGCACACATATCGCCGGANGTTTGGCATCTTATCTTTTGTATAACAAATACAGTAAATAAAACTTAAGAAAGATAAATACCATTAGGATTTTTTTGTCGTTTATTATGCTAACAAAGAGACATTATTGTATGATAGGTAATTATTAACAGCAAATCCTGATCACGTCACTGGCACCAACTATATATGGGGATCAATAGCTACCAACAATATCTATTTGTCTTTTGGCAAGAACTATACCAAATCACCAATAATGTTTTGCTAATTAACTTTATCATTAATTCTTTATTATCAATCCATTCTTTAAGAAATGGATATGATATTAAAATTTGGTGCATAATAATACGTCACTCATAATTTTGTTTGGTTATTAGCGGATAGAAAATATCAAATAATTAATACTAGATTGTAACGACTGATTTGACGATAAATTATATTAATATTTTGTAAATAATTATTTGTTAAATAGCGGTTGGAACAAGACGGAACAATGTCATGTCTTATATTATAATTAATTAAATATTTGATTGAAATTGCTAAAATATCAAAATATGGTGATTTATTAAATTGCAATTAGCCAATATTGCGTCCAACTCAAAAAGTATTCACAATATTTAAAGGCATATCATATAATTTGACGTTACGTGCTCGCAAGAGTTTGTATTTAGCACATTATAAATGGATTCAAGTGTCACCAAACGAAGAATATATCTATTTTTTCTAATTTTCTTTTCTCTCTGTTTTTCAACTCCCTCGTGGGTCCGGCGCACCACACTCCCCTACACCCCACAGCACGCAATTATTATTTATCAAAAAATATCAAACCATCTTGTTCAACTGTTCAAGTATTGCGCGTGCCATCAACACGAATTAAAAAAAAAAATGGCAAGAGGAGGAGGAGCAGGGGATCACCATAGGTACTGCTACAGAGAATTAGTGCCCTTCACGGCGTTGGTAGCTATGGAATGCACCAACGTGGGCCTCAACACTCTGTTCAAGTTCGCCACGCGCCACCAAATGAGCCGCCACGTGTTCCTCGTCTACGCCTACGCCGTGGCAGCGCTGGTCCTCGTCCCATCTCCGTTCTTTGCCCGCCGGTGGAGTTTTTGGCCTTATAGCTCATTTGGTTTGTTATTTATTCATTTTTGTTTATTATTATTATTATTTTAATAATTGATTATTGCAGATCAAGGGCTTTGCCCTCGTTGAATTTCTCCATTATGCTCAAGATTTTTCTCCTCGGTATTGTCGGGTGAGTGAAAGTGTGAAACTCAAATTCAAAATAAAATAAATTCAATTATTATTTTTTTTTTTAACATAAATTCTTATGTGAGCTTAGATTCGAAACGAGTTAATTTCTTTTGTTTAATAAAATACATATATAGTGTACGTAATATCGTTATTTTTTTATGATAGATTTTACGATGTAATTTGAAAGCATTTATATTTGATAAAAAAGTATGACCATTTAACTTTTATTTAGTCTTACTACTTTAGTTTGAAATTATGCATATTAGTTAAAAAAAAATAAGAATAATATTAGGTCAGTCCAACGGTGGCCGCCATATTTTTTCAACTAGGTGTTCATATTTTTAAGTTGGAATATGGTACTCTAAACAACATAAATAAATAAAATTATGATATTTCACAATATAAGTATGTATTTTTATTAATTAAAAAATAACAATGGTCATATTTTTATTCTTTTTTAATAGACTTATTACTTTAGTTTAATTATGGCATTTCATAATGCAAATATGTATTTTTATTAATCTATCATTATATAAAAAGAATAACCTTTTTACAAATTTAGAAACATTTTTCCGCCAAAATCATTAAATATATCATAATATAGTAATTGTTGGACAAATCTGAATAGGCAAAAAAATCGGCTCATTTTTTTTAGTTTATCAAAATCGTTGTTTGACAATAAATATTTATTTTTTTTTCCTATTTTTAGTATACATCTACACGCTTATCTCTTCTGTTACAAAATCCCATTGCATACGATCTCACGTGTTTAAAAAATCTCATCTCTTATCTATACAGATTTAATAAAATAAAATAAAATAGATACCAATTCATAATTACTACTAGAAATCCATTATTTTTAAAAAGAAAAAATAAAATAAAATAGAAACTAATTCATAATTACTAATGGAAATCCATTATCTACTTTAAGAAGCTAATTTTCATCGGTCTAATTACTAATATTCTTACAAATATTATAAGTTAATCGGTCTAATTACTAATATTTTTACAAATATTATAAGCTAACCATACAAAAAAGTATAATAATAATTTTGAAATGGTGTGTAATCAAATTTTTTTATATTCTCTTATACAAAATAATTTTATATTGTTTGACCCCGAATCTTTAAGTTATAATTATTAAGTATTGGTTATCCTCCTCTTTAATTTATAATTATCTTTTTTGCTTTCTCTTTTTAAATAGGAACAATAATAGTTTCCACTTTCGTCATTGAGTGACTCAAACTCGAGGTCTATTTATAATATTATTAATTTAATATTGTTTCCGTGCATCGCACGAGGTATACAGTAGTTAAAAAAGAATGACGGTCATATTTTTAGTCTTTTCTAATAGACTTATTATTTCAACTTGAAAAGCCTGCATATTGTTGAAAAAACTTATAATTTATGACTACTTAACCGTTTGGCTAACAGACTACACTATTTCAGTTGAACTTGTTCATATTTGTTGAAAAAGTAGAAAATATGAGTGTCTAACTATTTTTGTTTTTTCAAACTATTGGTTTAGGTATGCGTCGCAAATAATGGGCTATACTGGTATTAATTACGGCTCTCCCACACTTGCTTCCGCCATGAGCAACTTAGCTCCAGCTTTTACTTTTGTGCTTGCTATCATTTTCAGGTACTCTCACTTTACTCTTTCTCTGTCACATTCTTATAAATTTGCCATCTTTTTTCTTGTTTTCATTGGTCCCTACATAGTGCGAAAATAGCACCATTAGACCAAGCACTAGCAGATTTTTTTTATGCTACACATGCAGTTGCTTTGGATATAAACCACTTGCTTGTGGTGCCATCTTTTCCATTTAAGCACAGATACTGTTCGATGAATTGCCGAAGCATTTTTTTTTTCTTTTCCACTTTTGGTATATAGTTAAATCTTGATGTGATTGAGATGTAGTTTTTGTGGTTTAACGCTTTTTCTTGCTACAAAGTATAAATCTCATTTAGAGCCAACTAATAACATATTAGCAATCGTCACTCTCACTCGACCCGTCTCCATCCAAATAGTGTGAAGAAAACGAAAAAAAAAAAAAAAATCACTAAATTGCATATGAATTATGGGTGAACTTGGTCTCAGACGTCAGATGAAACACACATCTGTGTGATCTGACGGCTCAGACCCTTCTTGGGCAGTGCCCACTCTTGCAGAGTTGAATTCTGGTTAAATTTTGATGGTTATCTCATTTTTCAAGTATTATTAAGTAACAAGAAACGATGCAAAATGTAACTTGTAAACAAAATCCAATGCGTCGAAATTAATAGGATATGTATATATGTGTATGTATTTATTTTTGCAGAATGGAAAAGGTAACGTTATCGAGCACGAGTAGCCGTGCCAAAATTGTTGGCACGATCGTTTCGATAACAGGGGCATTTATCGTTACATTTTACAAAGGCCCGAGCATTAGTGCCACTCAATCCACTCATCCTATTTCGCTCAATCAATCCCTTTACTCTTCACAATCCAACTGGATTATCGGCAGCCTTTTTCTGTCGGTCGAATATCTTCTTGTGCCCGTGTGGTACATTATTCAGGTAATTAGTAATTACACAAATAATTGCGAAAAATACCCCAAAAAGTGGGTATATATAACTCTAATTACAAAAAACATCTTGCTATTATTGTAATTTTCGGATTGCATGTAGGCACATATTATGAAAGAATACCCTGCAGAGTTGACGGTTGTCTTCTTCTACACATCGTGCGTGAGCATTCTAGCTGCAATTGTCGGGCTTTTCGCAGAGCCCGATTCAAGTAAATGGAAAATCGGGCCCAATGTAGCATTGGTATCCGTATTGTGTTCGGTAAGTTTTTTTGGAAGTTGCTCGACTCATCATGCTCGTTGGTTTCGACAAATCGATTAACTAATTAATATTGTTACAGGGTCTTTTCGGTTGTTGCATTAACAATGCCGTCCACACGTGGGCCCTGCATTTGAGGGGGCCCGTTTACGTAGCCATGTTTAAGCCGCTCTCGATTGCAATAGCGGCTGCCATGGGAGTTGTTATCCTCGGTGACACTCTTTATCTCGGAAGGTAACGTGAAGCGTTCAGTGCTATTAAATAAAACGAGCAGTTCAACTCGTTTGATATTCGAGCCGAGCTGAAGCCCATTTAAAGCTCGTTTGGTTAACGAGCTGAGCTCGACTCGACTCAACTCGATTAGGCTCAAAAAGAGAATTTTTATATAATTATTTTCTTTAATTCTGCTCCTTAAAGCTCGAGATTCGTTAAAGCTCGAACTCGACTCTTTATTAGTGATAAACGAGTTGAGCTCGAGTTCGATTTCTCATTTATTTAACAGCTTGGTTCGGCTCGACTCGTTTATAGGCCTCTCATATATTGTCGATTTTAAACTTTTTAAAATTGTTTTTTTTCAAAAAAAATTATCGAACAATATTTTGTGTGGCAGCATAATCGGGGCAGCAATAATAGCCATCGGATTTTACACGGTAATGTGGGGCAAGACAAAAGAGGAGTATTATTTCGAATTCGATGTCGATTATTCCGATGACTTGGAGTCGTCGGCCGAGACGAAAAGGCATCCCTTGTTACAAAGCTACAAAAACAGAGGTAGCACAAAAGAAGGGAATTAACAACTATCTATAGATAATTACTAGTATTTTTAAGTGTATAATTGTAATTGGAAATTTGTCCATAATAATGGATCAACACAAGATTATTATAAAACATGTATAGTTTTGCATTCAGTCTATATAGTTTGAGATTGTAAGTAAAATGAGTAGCTGCAAGAATGTGTGAGGTTTAAAAGTGAGGCCAAAGGTTACACAAGAAATGGTAAATAATTTGCATACTTAAATATGACGGTCTATTTTCTTGGAACACCTTAAATGCAAATAAATGAAGATGCACATATACTGAACTGAAATTGTAGAGGTGGCCAGTCCACGGGCCGGGTCACGGCCCGCTGAGTCCACGGCTTGCAATTTCATGACCCTTGACCGGCCCGCATTTTCAAAGGGCCGCGGGTTTGGACCGGCCATGAACCGTCGGGTCACGGACCCGCCGGTTTTTGGCCGGTTCCGGGTCGGTGCGGCCCGCTAAAAAATACATTGCCGCCGTCTTTCAATCTGTCGACCCGAGCCCGGCCAGCCGGGACCAAAAAAAAAAAAAATGAACCTTAACCGAATCGCGACCCTACGGGTCCGGTTCAACGAACCGGTCCTTAGGAGGCCGGTTCGGTCCGGGCCGGGATCGGTTCGCAGGTGAATTCCCGGCCGGTTCGGCCCGTGGACATAATCTTAAACTACCTTATTGATTTTTTGTTTTTATATTTTTAATCCAATTCAATCAACACTGTTCAAATATAAAAAGTAATTATTATTACATGCTTACCCAAAAAAAAAAAGCATTATTAATTTAAGTGTATGGTTCTAACTATCAATCGTAGTCAATTTTAGTGATTCTATTTTTATTCTATTGAACTCACCAATCAAAAATATTTCATAGTTCTCTAATTTTTCACAAATTTTCCATATNTAGCTAATGCTCTGTTCTCACCTGAAATTAACAATCATTTATCACTAAAATTCGACAATGTGTAATGGGCCATCATCAGGCCTATCCTCGTCTACAAAAAAAGCTATTGGGCTCTCAGGTCAGCTAGTCGGGCCCAATATCAACACTAAGCTATAGCTACAGCTACACCTTCATTTTCAACCCTTCAAAGAAAAGGAAGAACTGAAAACGACTCCCCACACTCATCGGTAAAAAAAGGATTCGATAATTTCAACTCCACTAAACAATCCAAATTTGCTCGAACGAGCTCCAGCTGAAGGTTAATTTTCTTGATCGGTAAAACCTTTTTTCCTTTCAGACAGAAAAAGAAACCTCACATCAGTCAGTACAAAGTACTTAATTTGTACGAAATTCATTGTCTCACACCTCCTTTTGATTCTTTATACGCTTCTCAAAGTCTCAATCTATTTGCCGACAGAACAAATTGGAGGTTAGTTTTGTGCTGTTTCTGCCTCGGCCGTCTCTAATTACAATTGGGTATATCTGAATTTGATAATTTCAGTAAATTTTAATTCAGTTCTTCAGGTTATCAGTTCGCTTTTCGTATGTTCAGTCTATGTTACCTGGAAAGTTTGCATCTTTTTGAAGGTCTGTGGGCTATGGGCTTTGTTCTCTTGATTTATTGTGTTGTGTAGTTTTATAGTTGAAGAGAAAATTACACCTTTTCCCCTATAAATTCCTATTTATTTGCACATTTACGAAGTTTCTTTTCTTAATTGCTATTAACTGCAAATATGCTAACTTTCACTGATTATGAATGTTTAATTTGTGATTTATTTTTCTCATTGGTTTGACTTGTTTATGAATGGTTTTATTTCGAATCTTGTGTTTTCACAGAAGCTTTCAAAATGCATAGTAAACATGTAACACGTATAAAGGTCTACAGTTGATGGCAATCTCCAGACCTTAATTCTTGATTTTCGACTTTTTTTTTTCCTAATTCTATGNCCTTTCCTTAAACGAGCAGAGACAATGTCCCAAGGCTACGCAATCGAACTCTACTTCGATCCTGCCCTTGAAAACCAAGTCTTGAAATCATGGAACATTTTGGCTAGACGCCAAATCAGCACTCAGCTGATCGAAATCGAATCTAGGCCTCACCTAACGTTATTTTCTAGCCCTTTTGTCGATATCACTAAACTTGAGACCGTACTTAGAAATTTCTGCTTAAAGCAAGAACCTTTACCTTTGTGCTTCTCATCAATCGGAAGCTTCCCGAGTGAAAACAATGTAATATTCCTGGGCCCCACTCCATCTCTTTCACTACTTCAGTTTCATTCTCAGTTATGCGATGCAATGAAAAAGGAAGGAGTCGAAATCGGAGAAGAGTTTCGTCCCGACAAATGGATTCCTCATTGCTCGGTTGCTGAGGATGTTTGTAGGGGCCGTTTGGTTGATGCGTTTAATGTTCTGCGCGATTTGAAGCTGCCGATCAGTGGGTATGCAATGGAAGTTTCGTTAGTCGAGTACCCACCTGTTCGTGAACTCTTCTCTTTTAACCTTGGTACACAATATATTGGCGAGATGATCTGAATATGTGTTTTTTGTGTTAATGTTGGATTAGAGTGTTTTATGTGGTGAATGGTTTTTAAATGTTATTTTACGGTTGTTGAAAAGTGGGGTTATTTGTATGAGTGACTATTTAAATTGGTGTTTTGCTGTTTGCGGTTATGTGAACTTCATCGTGTTAGTATCATGTTCTGTGCCTAATTATATGGTTTTTTTTGTCTTTACAACATACTGAGATAGGAAAGTTATGGCTTCTAACTTGTGAAATTCGGACTGTTATTACACACTAGCTTAATTCTTTGCGAATCATAATCGGCATAATTTGGATGGGGTTTCTTTCTACACTCAATACATGAATGTGTGTGATTGGGTTGCATTATTTTTTGAGCTCAAAGTATGCCATATATGTTAAAACTTTGTGAAAGCCTTATTAAGGCTATCTGACTTAGACTTAATAGTTATTCTGCTGTGTACTTGTTAGGGAGAAAAGAAAAAATTCATGTATTGCACCTTAAGTCGCAGAATAATTTGTCGATTTGAACAGTTTTAAAATGATGTGATTCATCATTGCCCGAATTTACTTCGGATGTTAGAGTTATAGGTCTCCTCTGTTTTTCGTTGGTCGAGAGAATTTATCAATTATTCTGAAGCCATATGAGGTTTATTTTGTAACCTTGTTGCTGTTATAGATTGTGTTGAAGTGTTTCATTACTTTTCTTTCATGTAAATAATACTTTGCAGACTGTATTTGAGTGGAAGATCTTTGTTTTTCCACAGCATGATGTGAAAGATTTTACAGCTTTTCTTTATCATGAATCTTGCCCTTGTCATTGTTCTACTAATTTGAATCCAAGAAATATAAATTAAAGAAAACCATGTCCTCAAAGAATTGATGCAACGATATTTGCATGTTACAAACACAACCCGAGGTTTCGAATTTGACACCAAAGCTCATACTCGAGCCTCACTTTTGAGAGATGCAAACCCGAGCCATCTCTTGGTTGACTCGAAAAGAAACTGATTCCAACCATGGATCGTCTATTCATCAACTCGATAGAAGCTAATTCCAAACCATCGACCGGCCCAACAAACACCATTGCACGATAACTCCTTAATTCCCCCAAATCCAATACACCTCGAAATTCAAAGAGGAATATGACCTTAGGTAATTCCCTCAAATCCAATACACCTCGAAATTCAAAGAGGAATATGACCTTAGGAAGACGCGAATCGTACACTGCATTTTGCAGTCGTTGATGACCCAGAATACTTTTCAAATCGTTGGGCCCAACCCGAGGTCCTGATGCAGCCCAGTAGATGAAGCCCTCGAATTGTTGGGCCCAGTCCGAGGTCCATGACGTGAGGCCTGCAGTAGATGCAACCCTCGATTCGTTGGGCCCAGTCCGAGGTTCATGACATAGGTTCATGACACGTAAGGATGGCAGCGGTTCGGGTTCGGATCGGATGGAACCTCAGGGCACCCAAAACCAAAACCCAAACTTAAAAACCAAAACCAAAACCAAAACTGTTTCGGGTGAAAATCCGTCACCAAAACCAAAACACGCGGATACCCAAAAATCAAACGGATACCCAAAAAACCAAAAATATTATAATAAAACACCAAAGACAACAACATAAAACATGATAACGCGAGGAGAGGGAGGGGTCACGCACGGGACTCGGGAGAGGAGAAGAGTTCGGTCGGCATTTTTTTTTAGTCGGGATGGTGGCGGCGCGGCTGTTGGTCACGCAGGGATGGGAGAGGATAAGAGGCAGAGAAAATTTCCACTTATATAGCTAGGGTTTTTGGTGGGCTTTTTGATGGGCCGTCTATTTTGGGCACCCAACGGAGCACCACGGGCGAAATATAGGATCCGCACCAAAATCGAAGACTTTCGGGTACCCGAAACCGCAAAACCGTGGGTGAAATTTGGAACTAAAACCGAAAACCGCAGAACCAAAAACCACGGATATCCGAACCGAAAACGAACCGCTGCCATCCTTAATGACACGGCCAGTAGTAGATGCAGCCCGCATGCCCAACAGCCCTGTACAAGCCCTCGTACACGTAGTTTCAGGTAAAAAAAACATTGTTCGACATCCAAATAGACGATGACCATGTTTGATAAAAATTAACTGATAGCAGATAAGTTTGTTGATAACTTATAAGTGAATTTCGAACTTATATCTGATATCTTATGGCTTATGACTGAAAAGCTAGCTGATGTGATAACATTGTTTGGTAAAATTAACTGATAAACTATGTGAAATAAAAATTTCAACGAGCTTATTTGAAAAGTTATCCAAATAAGCTAATGAGACAAGCTCGAGCTTTCTAAGAAAGTTTTAGTTCATTCTGCCAAACTAAGTTTATTTATATAGATAAAGTTTATAAGCTAACTCAATAAGCTATAAGTTAGCTTATGGTGTTTACCAAACATAGTCTATGTAGTCGAGCAAGGATCGGCAAACGCCTTAGGGCGTGATTGGATATAATAACTCTTCTGAACTTCAGTGAAAGTTGGTATATTTATAATTTTTTATTTTTTTTTTTGAAAAAAAAAAAAAAAAAAAAAAAANNTTATAAACATGCAAATAAAAGGGAATTTGTAACAGGATGGAATATTTCTCTATTTCTTTTAGGTCGAAATATTGGGCCGAATGTGCACATGTTACATGTAGGCTTAATAGTAACGATGAGGCCCAGAATATTGAAATGGGCCGAAATGGTAACTCATCCACTGCATTACCATAAAAATCCCGAGAAGAAAGAAAAATCGAACTCATTTTTTCTGCATGAAGAGTATTGAAAACATCTTCGAGTCCTCTTTGAATTTGGAGGCGACACATTTCAAAGAGTGTTACGAACTTACGAGGAGAGCCACGCGGAAGGGCTAATCGCCGGAAAGGAAGAGGGCCAACGAGTGGGCCTGAAAACCGGGAAAATCAACGGGTCGGGCCGACTCGAGCTTCATATCGGCCCGATTCCATTGGAAGATCAAGCGGGTGGACGAGATATGCTTTAGTAGTGGCCCATTCCGAACCAGAAAACGGGTAGGTTTGGGATATGATGGAGCTTAAATTTAGGGATTGCTATGCGCCAGTTTGAATGTGAAATTGTAGTACAATGGCTGCCCAAAGGTTTCTGGTGCAAGAAAGATTGAGTTTTTATGGTAGATTGAAGCTGTTTTTACACAATATATGGACACATGTATCTTCTAATTTTAAGGTATGTTATTATCTTCATGCGCATGACGTGTTTGATATTTGTTCTGAGAAGAACTTTCGGTTTTACTCTGGTGATTGTGATACAGATTACGGCCTTAAGGTGTTTTTATTCCCCTGTTATTAATAACCAAAAAGAGAGCTTTTTTTTTCAAGAGTTGGGTTGTTGGGTAATATGAAGTGGTGTTAGTTTACAAATCAGTTGCATTTTATTACACTTTTTGCTTCATATGTGCTCCATGTTGTTTGGAGTTCTAGCATGTTAATTAAGAAACTTGTTGAGGTAGTTTTTGTTGCAATGTGTGTCGATCGTGTGAAGATCACCCATCGGCTTAGAGTTAAAAGAAGAAAAAAATGGCACGTCGTTTCCTTTAGAAACTACAAATCATAAGCATTTTATGGGATTGTATGTACAGTTAGTTTCTGTCATTGAGGTCAGTTCATATATACTTGTTTGATGATGTTAATATTATTGTGTACATACTATGTGACTCGACTTGTCCTATTTTGGCAATTAATATTATTTGTACGGTCTATGTTGTGGTCCTCTTTGTCCATTCTCTTGGCTTGAAATTCAGTTACTCATGATTCACTTGGTTAAGAACGTTTATATTTCTTTTCCGTACTGTTTTTGTTTGCTATCAACGGTTTACATTACAGCTCTCAGTGTTAAAAGGTAGTATTTTTCATTATTAATTGGAAGTTGAGGAAAAATGGCGGAGCTGTAAATGCTTGTGTCGGTTTGATACTTGATTTTGTCTCAATGTGTGGATGTTATCGCTATTGCTCTTATATCTCAACGCTCAGATAATGATAATGATGATAAATAATAATAACAATATCAATAATAAACTCAACTGCATGTTCCTGGTGATATTGTATTTTNAGAAAAAAGAAAACAAAAATAAATTTGAGAAAGACAAAGTTGAAATGGTTCTGTTTTACTGTTTAGAACTCCTATTTGAAGTTAGCTGCTATTAGTTTTTTCTCATGTCTCATGTGGGTTTGGACAAGCAACTTGAATATGAATTGGCTGGCACATCACATGGCAGAATTCTTTCTTTTGTTTTTTTCTTTAACATATTTGCAAATTAATGGAATTCTGATATTCTTATTAATTTATTTTGTTTTTTTTTTCTTTACCATATTTGCATATTTATGGATTTTAATCATTTTTTTTATCATCCCGCCACCCGGCAAAAAATAGGTCTAAATTCGACCTTATCTTTGTGGGCACTATTTATATCGGGTTCCGACTTCCGAGTTGTCGTTTTACATGCCCGCACACATACTCTCGTGCATGGCCATCTATCTTAGTTTGGATGTGAATAATTAATAAAAGTGAAATTCAATGTTCTTAATTATTTTCATTCATTGAAAAAAAAAACATTGTATTTGAAATCATATATCAATTTTGTTGATAAAGTACTAGTGCGGTACCCGTGCGATGCACGGTCTAGTATTATTAAAGGAAACATTTAAATTTGGATGATTGGATGATTGGTCAGAACATAAATCGCAGGTATTGTAATAAAACAAAATGTTGCTTATATATTATTAAACACCTCATTGTACACAACATTATTTGTTTAATTTTTTGGTATATCATCATCGCCTCAAATTAAAATTTCTTACCCTTACATTTCGTAATGCATGCAACAGCTACATACGGCTGACTGTGATTGAATATTGGTTTCTTCAAGAACAGACCAACATACGATAAAGATTGACTCTGTCTCTTGTTTATCGTCATAGCATAAGAACACATCATTGGGAATTGTCTTCGTCTGGAATTTGAAAGTATCCTAACATCAGAAGGAGTTAACATCATCCACGAAACCAACTTGTTCTCACGTGAATTCTTAGTGAGGATTAATAATCAAGAGCACTTGAATTACTTCTTGAATTGACATTGCTATGTTGGTACATATATGGATTGAATGGCGATGTAGATATTGTATCTACAACAGTAAAAAATATAAAAAATACATAAACCTGAGAAAACCTCAAATAGTTAATGTTTTCTAATTAATGCCGGATTTTGTGGAGAAAAATAGTAGAAAAAGAAATATATTAATACCTAAAGAGTTTATAATCCAAAGAATCTATAAATTTTCAAAAATATCCAAAGATAAATGTACGAAATATACACATGATGATTTTGTTAACTTTGATTATTTTTGTTATTATTTTTACAAATAGATATTAAATGTTAATATGTATAGATGGACATAAAATATATATAGACCATTATAATAAACATTACAGCCGCATGTCATAATAAATCAGACTAATTTTCAAAAGTGAATTGAACCAATACCACATTGTTTGGGAAATTTGATATAGCCGCATATTTGAATTTGAAATGAACTAATCACATAATTTAAGGACATCATTTATTTAACATAAATCAGCGGCATATTTGAATTTGAGATGAACTAATCCCACAATTTAAGGGCACCATAAATTGCTGCTCAATTTTACTAATTAAAAAAATTAAAAAACTTGCTTAAATTGGTAAGTATTTAATGTTGACCGAGTTTGACTTGCATTTGAGCTGCTATTTTTGAAAAATGGTAATTCTTATTATATATATATATATATATATATTGATGTAAAATTAGTTTATTTCACATCATAATTTGTGTTTGTTAAAAGTGGCGCAAATTCTTATGTGAGTCGATCTAATGTTAGTTGAGCAGAACCATATATTATGTTAGCAAATATATATACTTATATTCAAGGTATTACAATTTATAGTTAAAAGTATGATTAATGGTGAAACTAATATGCTGGTCAAATGTATACACTGAGTTTAATAAAAGAATTGTCGTAAATTAAAAGCGCTCCAGCTTGAAATTGTCATTAAGAAACCATAATCTCTTCGAGGCATATTCTAATATTATTCTCTATATTCTCATAAGTCATAAGTGTGAGACTCATGAACACAAAATAATAAAAACAAATCTGATAATTGTGTAAATTCAGAAAGTAGTAATAATAATAATAATAATAATAATAATAATGCAGATGCATGTGGTGAAGATGCTTCCACTGATCGACCACGCCACGTGGCAATTAATGCCCTGTACCTTTCGTATCCCCTCTGATAATTGATTATAAGTAAATTAATTGTTTAGTCTGAGATTAATGTAATTAATATTCTAATTTATCATATTATTATTGTTTTTTTAAAATAAATTATATTACGTGGACAGTCCAGAAAAGGGTAGCTTAGCACATGGGAGTTTGTTGATTTGCGCAAATGGGCACATGTGGGCGAGTGAACAGCGATAGTGGGCTCTGATGGATAAGGGCCTTGGCCCATTGTTTGGTGGATGGGGTACATCCATTAACCCGTTTTTATCGTTTTTCATGCATTTTCTCAAATATAAATAAATAAATAACAAAAAATTAACGGGTCTAATAAAATACAAAGCAAAATGTCATCACAGTCACAAATTAAGCTGATTAGGCTAGTCCAAACCATAATATATCTATATATATATATTTAGTTTTTATATAAGATGTTAATTTTCGAAACGTATTTTGTAATAGAAATACATGCTTTTTTTTTAAGTATGCCAATTTTATATAAAATTATGTATATATGTTTAAAAGGTTTAATTATAATTATCTAACAGTTAAACAGGTACACCTGGATTGTTAATTTTGATTTTATTTCAAATATGAATTTCTATGCAATTTTACTTGGCCAACTTATTTCATGTAAGCAGCATCGATGATGCAATTACTGCAGAACCTTAATTAAACTAGCTAGGAAAAAAAATAATGGGTCTATTTTTAGTGGT